TCATAGAATGGCTGTATGTACAAGAACATAAAAGCATGCGCTGGCTTTGCCCTTCTAGACTATCTCACTTCATCATGGAGCTCGATATCTCGCGCTCTCTTCAACCATTGGTTCCTTCATGGCAACCCGCTTCCGTGCTATATCCAGATTAGGAAACGTCCTGTTCTCAAGTCAAAGGACGTCACACGGGATATAAGCAGCCGCACTTGCAACCTCTCCTACTACATCTTTTCTCTTGTCTTGCGCTTGTGCTGACTACTGTAATCTACAGTAGTGCCGACGTTGATTATGGTCGCCAAATTGAGAGATGTTCAGAACCCAATATTGTTCGAGATAGCCTGGGAGGTTGCAAACAAGGGTAAGTGTTTACGCAGGGGCCGGCTAGCTCGCGTTCTCCATGCCTTCTCGGGTTGCTTGGCTGCTTTGGTTGCTCTATGGTGTCCTGCAGACAAGCGACAATCAAGGCTTTGAAAGCAGAGCTTGTCCGGCTGTGCTCAGCCGAGACTGACGCCTTTCCTTTCCATTAGTTGGAGGTATCTATACCGTTATCAAGACCAAAGCGCCTGTCACTGTTGAAGAATATGGAGAACGCTACTGCCTGATCGGACCGTTGTCCTACAAGACCGCTCCGATGGAGGTGGAAGCTCAGGAACCGCATACCCCAGAATTGAAGGCTACTTTGGACGCCATGCAACAACATGGCGTCAAATTCCTCTTTGGACGATGGCTCATTGAAGGAGCTCCCTACGTGCTCTTATTCGATACCGGAAGTCAATACCACAAGCTGGACGAATGGAAAGGAGATCTTTGGAACACGGCTGGTGTTCCGAGTCCGCCGAACGATCATGAGGCGAATGAAGCTGTGATCTTTGGGTACCTGGTTGCGTGGTTCTTGGGTGAGATTAGCGCAAAGGTAAGTTACTCATTATAGTCATGCGATCGGAACAAGAATTGATTACGTCTATAGTACTCATCTGAGGGGCGTCCGGCCGTGATTGCACACTTTCATGAATGGCTTGCTGGAGTCGGGATTGCTCTATGCCGCAAAAGGCACATCGATGTCACCACGATCTTCACGACACATGCGACGTTGCTTGGCAGATATCTGTGCGCGGGATCAGTAGACTTTTACAACAATCTTCGCAACTTTGATGTAGACTATGAGGCCGGCAAACGTGGCATCTATCATCGCTACTGTATCGAGCGGTCGGCAGCTCATTGCGCGGATGTCTTCACCACCGTCAGTCATATTACAGCCTTCGAGAGTGAGCATTTGCTGAAGCGCAAGCCAGGTAGGCCTCATCTAGATGGATGATTCGCTTGACAGGGCTAGAGTCCTAATGTACTGGTACCAGATGGAGTCACGCCCAACGGCCTCAACGTGATCAAGTTCCAAGCCGTGCATGAATTCCAAAACCTGCATGCTATATCCAAGGAAAAGATCAATGACTTTGTTCGTGGACATTTTTACGGACATTACGACTTCGATCTATCAAATACTCTCTATTTCTTTACAGCTGGACGATACGAATACCGAAACAAAGGCGTGGATATGTATATTGAAGCGCTGTCGCGTGGGTACCTCTCTCCTTGTCTTGCCTACGTGGGACTCAAGCCTGCATTCAATAGGTCTCAATGATAGATTGAAGTCTTCTAATTCTCCAATGACAGTTGTCGCGTTCATTATCTTGCCCGGTGCCACACATTCTTACAGTGTTGAGGCTTTGAAGGGGCAAGCTGTCACCAAACAATTGAAGGAAACTGTCAGCGAAATCCAGGATCGCATTGGAAAACGGCTTTTCGAGACCGCGCTAAGGTAGGGGCACTGGAGGATTTGGTGCCGGTCGCTCAACGCATTGTTAGGGGCGGAGATGTCAAGACGGAAGACATGCTATCCTCAGAAGACAAGATCCTTTTGAAACGAAGAGTGTTTGCCCTCAAGCGATCCACATTACCGCCTGTGGTGACTCACAACATGGCCGATGATGGCGCAGACCCTGTGTTGATGCAGATTCGAAGACTAGGTCTGTTCAACAACCAATACGATCGCGTCAAAATGATCTTCCATCCTGAATTTCTCAATTCCAACAACCCTTTACTGAGTCTCGACTATGAGGAATTTGTGCGCGGTTGCCACATGGGCGTGTTCCCGTCATATTATGAACCCTGGGGCTACACACCAGCAGAATGTACCGTCATGGGTATCCCCTCCATCACAACAAACTTGTCCGGTTTCGGCTGCTTCATGGATGAGAACATTGAAAACTCGGAAGACTACGGTATCTACATCGTTGACAGACGCATGAAGTCTGTCGATGAATCTGTCAATCAACTAGCCGATCAAATGTTCAAGTTTTGTCAAAAGTCGCGTCGCCAAAGAATCAATCAGAGAAACCGTACGGAACGTTTGTCCGATTTGCTGGACTGGAAGCGCATGGGCTTGGAATATGTGAAGGCGCGCCAACTGGCCCTTCGACGTGCCTACCCCGATTCATTCGATGACGACGTTCAGAACGACATTGATGCTAGCCCAGTCAAGATACCGAAGCCCTTATCCGTACCTGGATCTCCACGCGTTCGCACAAGCCTAGCCAACATGTCCTTAAATGACACTGACGGCACGAATGGGAATGAGGACGAAGACGAATATCCTTTCCCAGTCATCGTACGGCGTCGAGGATCTACTAGGGAACAGGAACTTCTTGCAGAGGGCGATTTGGAGACATTGAACAAGCTCAATGAGACGCAACGCAAGCAAAGTGTCAGTGGTTAGGAGAAAAGAACAAGATGCGATTGTCAGAGTATCGTTATGCTTATATCGTAATAAGGAAATCGATCGTTTGCTCCGATTTTTGTATTCAGCATGCATCGTCTGAACGTTGGCCACAATCGCATGGTTGCTCTTCGGCCATCCTACAAGGCTTTGCCTTCAATGAGAGTGAAGCCCATGTCGAGCTTCAACCGACCGAGTCCAGTACCTTTGGGAGACAAAAAGGCCCAGGAGGAATTCCAAGAACTAGTGCGCAAAAAGCACGATTCGGGATTCGTCGCTGCCGATGCTTCCGCTAAGGAAGTAGAAGAAGCCATGCTTCATCCGGACACTAGACGGAAGCCAAAGCCTGAATTTGAAGGTGACAAGAATCCCAAGACTGGCGAGATTGGTGGACCCAAGAACGAACCTGTAAAGCATGGTGACTGGAGCTTTGGAGGTCGGGTAACGGACTTTTAGAATACTTTCGGGAAACGCTTTTGCCACTGCGATTGTTTCAATGACATAGATATGTGCTTAGAGGAGCCCGATAGTAACATGTACATAATGCCACGATAAGCCAGATACATGCCAGAAAAGACACAGTACTGAAAGGTTCAACGAGGAAGAATGGAAGCAGGCGCGGTCGATGGAATTCCAACGCATCCTCATCGGTGATCCAGATTCCATGGTGCAAGATGTCCAAACTCAGTCAATATGTCAATGATCACAAAGTCAGACGTGGCCACATGATTTGAAACGAAGGATTGACTCTTGACATCTTTCGACTCTCACTCTCGACTTTAGTGCTGGAGGTATATATTCCCATGGTTGTCACTCAACTTGGACGTAACTTGAGCGCCGTTAACCACACTGACTGGAGACCTTTGCGACACTGGCGTTGTAAACGAATACGCGACATTTTCTACTGGTATCCTTACGGCGGTGACTGGCTACTCGGGTTAGCACCGAGTCATGGACTTTTCGGCTTTCTACACCCGAAGGTTCAATGTAGCTTTGACTAAAGCAGCTCAAGGTCAAGAAAATTCCTGGTAGATGAACGCGAGACAGCTGTAATAGTCTGTCAATCCGTTTCTGGAGTGAGTATAAACCACAAGGCTCGTGTACGATCCCAATTCCTACGAGACGCTTAAGGATGCAAGTGGTTAGAACAAGTTCATGGTCTACAGTTACGATGGACCGCCTTCCTGAATCGAGCCATGTAGGGAAACCTTACATTTACTAAGCAGGTCATCACCCCGGCTCATCAATCGCTTGATTCAAAGACCTACCTCAAGACGTCATGCACTCGATTGATCGTATGTTCATTATTGAACTAAAGTGGAACCGGAAAACGAGCACATTCTGGAACCTCCGCGCTATATGTCCTAGCAAAGGTCACTTACAAATTGAAGGAGAACGGAAAGATCTTATCTCATTACTATCATACGGATTCCTTGAGATCATGATTCGTAAGACCAAATTTGCAGACAGCACCGGCTATGGATTCAACTCCAAGAGAACGATAACATTACAAGCACCTGTGGAAAGGGTATACAAAACTCACTTGGGCCATTCTGCGTACGTCGCTGAAGACCAGGCGGAAATGCCAACAAATAAGTGAACACTACCGAGGGTGGCGCCATGGCCGAATTGTAATGGGAGCGTCATCGTCAGTATTTCACGAACCCTGGGCAAGGCATACTACAGCAACTCAAGCGGTTACATCAGTGACATGCCAGATTTGATTCGCTAATCCATTTGGATCCAGGCAGTCCATGCTTTACGACTGAACTTTCTCATGCAGCTTTCGCATTTGACTCTGGCAAGATGATATTGGACTCATCTATCGCCTGCGTCTTCCTCCGCGGCCTCCAATTCTGGTCCAACAACCCGGATCCCGACAAACGCAAACTAAAGCTCGAGAAACCGATTCGGAAAAACAAGGTTTATAATGTGGGGCTCCATAAAGGCTAAAGGTCGCTTAAACAGAGAAGTTTGAGACACAAGGATGTAATTAGTGGTTTCCAACTAAGATATGTCTAGGATAGATTGTGTCCACATTCCAAGGAAGAGACACATTTCCTCCAATTCTACGCTTTTAGTCAGTTGTCAATTTCAAATACCTAAGCATCCACCACACTGTGCGAACACGGATGAAATATTCAAATAGACTGCCATGGTTGTCACAGCCCTATCCAGCACCTTTTTCATCCCCACAGAGAGGCTGGCCAAAAGATAAAAAAGTAATGGGCGACTGGGGGAATTGAACCCCCGACCTCTCCCACCCTAAGGGAGAATCATACCACTAGACCAAGTCGCCTTATGTGAAAATTTTTTTGGGGAAAGTATATTTTCCTATTATTTGTCGACATGTGATCGCTAGATTTGGCAAGTAATGCTTCAGAATCATTGCTGCGGTTGTAAGGCCAATATTTTCGTTCGGACTTGCACATAAATACAAGCTAAGTAACCTGTACATCTTATTTGTGCATTAGCTGGGTAGGTATCGAACCCCAGAAGGCGCACTTTTGGTCCAAAAAGGTGTCGCTTTCCGTCGTAACATTGGCCACTTAATAGACGATCTGCTGGTAACCTGTCGCTTGGCTGTATACAGGCCACTCGATCGATCCTGGATGTCTGAAAGTGTTTGGATTGCCGGTAGCAGCGAAGCTTGTGTAGTAACTGGATATGGTATCGGCCAAGGTCGCCACCGGCCTTGTGAAATTCTCCAAGGCATTCTGATCAAAGTCAAAGGGGAGATCTGCGGTGTGGAACGCCCCCAGGGTAGGATCAGCCACAACATTGAAACGATACTTGTATACTGGTACAAATTGCTGGTAATCGTGTGCTGTAGTATAGGCTGGACATATAAACATATAGTCGCCGATAATATTTGCAGCGCGCGCGAATTCTGGATAGGGTGCACCAGGCGGATTCGATTGCTCAGGGTACAATTCTAAAATTGTTTGCAGTGAGGAGTTGGTCAAGCCAGGCATGTCCTCTTCAATCAATCCCGAGGCGAGTTGTTCACTGTTGGTAAAATTGTACTGCGTAACAAATTTGGTACCTTCGTTGGTGTTTGTGCCGATGATGATTGGTATTTTGCTGAACCGGTCGCTCGTCAGCAACGCGGAGCATGTCTCCGAAATGAACGTGCCATCCACCACGGGATAAAAGTTGGAAACGGCCGAATTGTATACCTTGGAAGCAACGGCTAGAAGTGTCGTGGCATTCACCTGCCGCAAACATTGCAAACTGTCCGGACTTGATGCACATCCCGTGATGTTGGTAATAGCATCATGGGTGGGTTGATACAATAAATAACTTGCACATCGAAAAGTTAATGCCTAACGAAACATTTAGTTTCGATGCCGATACTCATCGGCAACTTGCCACTTACAGATCCACTGAAAAGCATAGCTTGGTGGAACAATCGTTGATCGCCATTGTTGGCAATCATTTGGTACCCAATGGAGATCGCTCCAGCGCTTTCACCAAATGCAGTCACTCTTGATGGATCGCCACCAAACTGGAGAGCATGTTGCCTCACCCATTGTAAGCCGGCTCGCTGATCAAGCGACCCCACATTGAGGTTTCCACCCGCCTTGACTTGAGCAGGCGACAAGAAACCAAAAGCGTTCAATCGATAATTGATCGTCACAACAATCACCCTGCCACCACTAATCTTGACCAGCTCAGTACCATTGAAGGACGACCACGAGCATTCGCCATTGACAAAACCTCCACCATAGATCCAATACATAACTGGTAATTTCTCTCCACGGCTCATATTAGCATGGCCTCCAAATATTGGCGTAGAGGCAGTCCTCACTCTGTTGTACTCCAACACCTCCGCTAGAGCCAATTTGCAGGCCAATTTGCAGGCAAGCATCGCCGTACTTAGTAGCGTCTTGGATACCACGTTGCCGCCGGGGAGGTAACGGAGCCCGAAAACGTAGTTCACCCAATGGAGGCTGGGCATAGCGAACACCGAGAAATTGGTCTACATTGCCCGGTAAAGTCGAACCTTGGTAAGTAGCGTAGCCGAGATGGATAATAGGACCTCCGGCATGGCAGCCAAGGGCAAGCGTGAGCAAAGATGCAGTGAGCGTTACAAGTTTAACCATGAAGGGTGCGCACGGATCGAAGGACTTAGAATAGCGATCAATTTAAGTCAACACCGCACTGGGTTAATTTTTATGCCACGGGCCGGACAGTTGCCGGATTGTTTTACACAATTAGCTACTACTCTTTCTGGCTTAATTAACGGTTTATGATCACAAACGTTGAATATCCCCATATTGGATGCGCATTGACGTGTGTGACGGCTGTGACATACTCGGCCAAGGATGGCCACACACGATATTCACATCGGGTGACGGAACATCTATGGCAAATCCATTTATCCCCACCATTGTTGCACAATAGCGCCATCTGCAGAGCATTATACTCAAAATGTTTCCGTGACCAGAAGTGACGGGACGGATAACGTCCGATCATTGGCGGAGATAATGGAAGCCAGTTGAAGAATGGAATCCATTCACGACACTCTATACACTATAATATACGCAATTACGCGAGTTGATTGCTGGAAGCCTCCCACATGCACTTGTCAGCTCCAACACTCCCAGGAGGAAGTTGAACAATCGTTCCCTTCTCGGGATCGATTCGTGCAACATGACAGACTCGGACTGGGTTGCTTCGAAATGCAAATGAAAAGGCTCGGTATTTGAAGAAGCCTCGGATTGTCAAATTGTATGGATGCCGCATGATTCGAGCCCTGAATTTGCCGGAGGTTAGTTCTCGGTGATAATACATTGACAGGATGACTTGCCATTTCTCATTTCCTTCCTTATCGCCATCTTCAGTGTAGCCGGGCTCCTTAAGCCGTACTTGACTTGTAGCAGCAGTTAGACGACCGCCCTTTGAAAAGGGAGCAGATGGGAAGGTCAACGGTTCATCGAAGTGATAGACAGTGCCCAGAAATTCTACTGCAGGAGTAGATTGTGTATGCGAGGTTACTGTGCCTGTCAAGAGTGACAAGATTTGTTATGCATCAAGCAACGAGGGCGAACAGGGTACTGGTCTTACCTTGGCGACGCTGTTGCCGGATTTCCCTGTACTTTGCAACTGCGGAAATTTGGCTTTCAGCCGCTTCTTCACCTAGATCATCTTTGTTGATGGCAGGCACGACAAAGATGCCCAATTCAGTATCGTGAACGACTACACCCCACCAGCCCCTGTTGCGTGCTCGCACTTGAACATCAAATAAAAGTTCCTTTTGCGTTGCCAGAACATTGGACACTTCTGCGATACTTAGACTGCCCAACGGAGGGATGGTGTGTGGGAAAAATGGAGCGAGGATAAGGCCAATGCAAACGGAGAGCATGAAACAGAGAACGACAATTAGGAATATATGACTGTCGCATGGAAAAGCGTTAGCTATACATATAGCGTCTCATCATGAGGCAGTTACCTTTTACGTTGTGACCGAACCTCCACGCGATCAATACCCCAACCTTCTCCGCTTGAGGCACCATACCATGCCGGATATCCAGACATCCTGACTCCTCCACCGCCATCCAAACCCTTTGCGTACAGGTGCATGCGCTCTCGATCGCTTTCAGACATTCTTTCCGAGGCATGTATTGTCGGTGCGAATTTCATGGGATGTTGGTTTTCTTCATGGTGTGGAAAATCTGAACGGGAATTTATGTATTGTTCTTGCTGAGGGAAATAATGCTGCGTCGTTGAATATTCGGTTGACTGTTGACTATTAGGTGCGTTGTATGACTGCGGATACAGGTGAAAAAGTGAAGGATGGGAACCAGGTTGACGTCTTGGATGGCTATTGACTGAATTGGCGTTATAGCCGTTCTTGATGCTGCCATGGTAGGCATATGCTCCGGGGGAGGAGGCCGCGGACCGTGTCGACCGTGGTAAGTCTGGTAAAGCACCGCGACCTGCGCTTCTGTAAATGCTTTGTTGAGATGTTCTATACGGATCGGTTTCAAGAAAGGCGAATTTGCGGGGAGAGTTGGATCCCGCCATGCCTGATTCAGCGTCTCGGTCGACCCTGTTGGTTGGGAGTTTGGGATTTTGGTGTATGGTATTACGGGGAGATAATTTTGACTTCTTTTGAGACCGGCCTTGCTGCCGCTGTTGTGTGTTTTGGCTGACTGATAATTGATGTACAGATTTGTCCGTTAGCTCTACGTCGTCGTCCGTTTCTATTTCCTGTTTAACCTCGACCGATGGGGGTAGAGGCGATCGAGGATGCGAGTCTCGATACACAAACGATTCACGGTCTTCCGAATCTGCAAAATGATCGTTAAATTCAAATCATCCGTTCGAGCCATGCGCACGGTCTCACATACCATCTGCATCAAGAACAGCACTAGTCAGGTTAGCTGCAAATATCTCTGCGGGAGTGGCAGAGACGTTGATAACGGCTGGCCTTTTCTTTTTCTTGAGTTTAGTGGAATCGGAAGCCGACTTGATCGACCTTATGTCGGCAGGCTAGCGAAAATGCATGAGAAGAGAAGCTACGCTCTGCGCGCATGTATCAAAAGAGCTTACCTGCGCAGTCCGTCTTTCATCTTTGAAAACGCTTACATCAAACACTGGAGCTGCCTCGACCGTCAATTGCCGGTCAGAGTTGTCTCGTTTGGGAGGCTGCTTGACTGAACCACCAGTGCTCGTCCGTTGCCGCCTCCCATTCTTCACTTCTTCCAGCCCAGATGCAGTTTTTGCTGCAGTGAGTTGGGCATCTTTACACTTATCGTCCTTGACCCTTTCTGTGGCCAACTGCTCAGCATCCGTATTCAGACCTTTGACGCCTGTCGCAACAGTGTCTGAAGGTGTAGCGTCCATAGGAGCATGCGAGTGCACTGACGTTGATATATGCGGCCAAAGGTAACAATCTAATTTACAATTTGGACGCAGACAATGCAAAGGAAGCACTTGGATGAAAAGGTTTGCGCAGATTGGTTAGGATATCGGCATACATCTGACAAAAGATGAGCGCAGTGTACTATGGCTATTATATGACTTGCCTCTCGCTTTAAATCCGCGTACACCCATCCACCTCGTTGCACTTTTTTGCCAAGCTCTCGCGCAACTTGCTTTGCGTTTGCCAAGATCTCTGCAGGCTCTCCCTTGACTGTATAGTCTACCATGCCTTCCTTTAACGCAGCTTCGCCATTGAAACGTTTGGCAAATAACAGCAAGTCTCTACAGGGCGTCGGAGCAATCTTGTAACGCAGGATCGCAGCCAAACCAGGGCCGACTGGACCGGGCAGTTCAATCTCATTCTGAAAG